GCGTGATGGGAAAGTATCTGAATTCTGTGTAGAAATTCAAAGAGAACAACAGTGTGTCTCTTACTCATTCACATCATTTATTAAGAGTGAAAGTCGAGTCATCCTATCTATGTGATATTGCAACATGAAAAGTCACATACATAGTAAGGAGACTCCATAGAAGTGAGAGCCTTTCAACAGTACAGAGCCATAGATTACAAAATTAAAATACAAATGATTTCCCCCAATTTGGCAGGAAGCAAGTACAACATGAGGAAGCCTGGAATGGAAGGGCACTTACTTTTCAATAAGGCAGTTACAAAATGGACAAAACTCTCACACCCCATACTCCAAAATATACTCCGATGGGCATAACAAGTAATTAAAATGCCAAACATGGATCCCATACAACCATCCATCATTAGCAAATGTGTTAAGTGAAAGCAACAGAAGGTTTTGTGTTTTGAGATATAAGCTAGATAAAAAATAACTGACTGTAGACATTTCTGCCTCAAGAACAGGTCCCACTTTAGCCCAGGCTGGATTCCACCTCAGATGTCAGACCTGCTTTACCTTTCCCAATCATAAGCACGGAAACAAAGTACCCTAAAGCACTATGCTTCCCAGGGCATGATCTTGAGTTCATCTGCCCTTCAGTTTGACCGCCTTATTAAGTAATGGACCAGGAGCCAAGACCGCTGGAATTACACAGCCTCAGAGGACAGAGCAAAAGGCAGAAGTGGGACCACAAGATCATAGACTAAGCCCACGTAATAAGAATAAGTCCTAGGACAATACTGTATCTCCCAGTGTTTTTAAACCTTGCTCTTAAATTATTTGCCCTACCACTCATTTTGCAAAACCCAACTCTCCTAATCATTTCACTCCACCTTGAGTTTGTAGGTCATTTCAGTCCCCAAGAGCCAGGTTGTCCTTGGGAACTTCTTGGTTATAGGTTCTGAAGATGCTGAGGGCAGCTTACCTTTGACAGCATTCAAGTCATCTTGCAATGAGTGAGAAGAGTGCAGGATAGCTGGGGACTACAGGCTAGTCCTTATAATGCCATGTGACCTCAGGAAAATCTTGAACTTTTCTTTCCTCATTCTCTAAAAAATGGATGATTGCACAATAGCAACCCTGAATAACTTTCCAACTTGAAGATCAGTTACTTCTCTGACAATGAGACATGCAATCCTCTCTACACCCCACACAACCCCAGTTCTTATGCTTTGTTTTCTCAGTAAAAATTACATGGGAACTGTGGGTGATGGTACACACGTATAATCCCAACGCTCAGGAGACAGAGGTAGGAAGATCATGAGTACAAGGCCAGTCTGGGTACTAAGCAAGACCAAATGAAAACAAAAATAAACCAACCAAACTAAAAACAAAAAAACATGTGTGAAGTCCTTCTAAGAACCTGATAGTACAAGCCCTCAGCAACCATGGAACCTTTAAATTCCAGGCAAAGCAATGATATTTTAAAATCTAGCTGAAGTATTTCCTAAGTGATGTTGCATTAGTTTTTATGGGGCAAACACAGAACTAAGGCCTCAATTGTCTTAGGTTATTTTTTAGCAGGCTTGGTACCTTCCCACCCCCCAACTCATATCCTTACTTCACCAGCTTTGGCAAGAACAATCAAGCATAACCTGGCTTACAGGGTTTTCTCAACATTCTCCAACAAGGAACTAAGTGGAACAACACTTGGAGGAAGGCCAGTCAGGATACCAAAATGTCCATGTCCTAGCTGCTTCTTTCTAGAAGACAAATGCAATGCAGTGGGACAGTGCCAGATCAGGTTCTTTGCCAAGCTGAATAACTTTGTCATGTGGCCCCTATGGGGCAGAGACTAAGATGGAAATTACAGAGAACGAGAATAGCCAGAGGCTTACAAAGAGAGCAGGCATCTCTAGGAGGTAGTGAGTTTTCAGTCCTCAGAGGTGTTTCAACCCACACTGCTCCCTTAGTGGGGCGGTTGCAGGTAGAATGTCTGCACCTGTGGGGAAGATTGGACTGGATGACTTAAAGGCCTTTCCCCATCTTTGATCTTTTCATTGTAATGTGTGAGTGCCTTCAGATGATGTCTATGAAGCAACTTTTCTGAGACCACACCTGGAATAACCTACTTCAATGGGCAAGTTAACTCCCCATCCTCTCCCTTCTACCATGCAATTGTCTTGAAGGATATTAACAAAAAGTTCCTGTGAAATAAACAGCCAAAGACCAAGGTTAGATATAACACTTCATTTGCAAACATTAATATCTATTCTTTGAGAGGCTAGCAGTATCTATTTAGCTATGACAGGAACATCTAACAACTTGGCAGCTGTAATACATGAGTGAAATTCTTCATTTTTAGAGCACTGGTCCTGACTCCTTTGGTTTTCAATCTTTCGTGAGATTCAGCTATGACCTTTTCATATGCTGGTTGATGTCAATCTAAGGGTTTGTCACTTGAAGTAAGAAATCTGTCCTTCTGTCTTAAAAACCTCAAAATGAAATAATATAAATCATGGGATATTGATGTTTTCATGTGACAACCTTCAGGGCACATGAAAGAACCATGCCAGGCTGGAGCTAAGGCAGGAATTGGACTGCTTAGGAAGACAATGCCACTGCTGAACTTGAAATTCCAGTTTTGCCCAAGAGCACCAAGTGGAGAGAAGGCAATGCTGCAACGTCACAGGTTGAGGAAGCAAGGGAGTCCTTGACAGGTAGTATAAAATGCAGGCAGCCAAGATGAATATTGCTCTTCCCATACCTCACTGCTCCCTGAAGCCAGGTCCTGTTGCTTTGAAAGGCCTGGTCATTTCTCATAGGGAGAAGCCTCCTGGATAAACTACCAGAAACTGTGGAAGAGGCTAAGGCAAGTGGTTTGGTGGGCTGATGAAAGAACAGATTTGTGAACATGTAAATTCAAATAGCTCTTTTCTCTCACCTGATCTGTTTCAAAAGGTTGAAGAGATACCCACAACCTCCACTTTCCTAAAGCAGCCCTCTTCAGAGGAAAGATAACATGAGACTCAAGAGTGCACAACATCTGGCTGAAGGTGAAGTTTCCCAAGGTTTTGCTTTGGAATAAAGCATTTCTACAGACACTTGAACAGTTGGATCCTAACACCACAGCTTACACTGATACACACTGCTCACTCTCTCTCACCTGGGAAAGTAGACTGGTTGTTAGAGAAACAGTAACATGACCTACACACCATAATTTTGGTTTAAATATCAGAAAGATACTCTTTCTTCCTCAATACATCATGGACATTTCCACAGAGCAGGTTGAGGATGCCTTAATCTGTATGCCCATGTGACCTAGACTCCAACCCCTGCTGAGCCTTCTTGATACCCCCATCAATATCCATCAGCTATAAGTAGGGAGATAATCTCTACATATGCGCTGAATCTGAAGGACTGAAAACACCCAGAGGGACCTCAAGGTGCCCTCTACAGCCAGGAGACAAATCATAGCTCAGAGTATATTCTATGTACATTCATTTACACATATTTAAAAGGGTTGCAATCTGCTAGACATGCATTTTGAACACTGGTAAAAGCTTTGCTGCAATGGAACACACTGCATCATAGTGAAAGCAGTGGTCCTCTCCCCATTCCACAGAAAGCATGATACTCTGCTTTACAGAACCAAGACTCACATATACACCACTCCACTCAGTGTAAGTTTAGTTCTGATTTCTCTGAGATGGTGCTCAGATCAAGCCACCTATGAGACATTAAAAACTCTCTGTCAGGTTAGGCAATCCATTGCTCTTTTTATCATTTAAGGCTTAAGAAATAACTCAGAATTGATAGAGGGTAGGAAGATGACCTTTGACCATAATATATGTCAAGAGGGTCAGAAATTAGAATCTAAATCGTTTTCTTCTCTTTTTCTCCCATCCTCTTATCCCTCTGCCCACAATACACTGATGAGAGAATTTTGCAAAAGCATACTTTTGGATATAAAGCTTTGTTTTCTTAGGGTACTTTGGTTCTGATATGATTAGATAGAGGAATCTGATTTTTTGAACCAAAAAATCAGGTAATTAATAATTAGTATTAATAATACTAAAAGTTACTTTAGCAATCTTTCTCCCAAAGAGGAAGGCAAATTTCTCACAAAAATGAGCATCAGGTGGCACTGACCTTTGCTGCTCAAACTCATGATTTGTTGCTTAGCAGAGCCCAGGGAGTCAGTTGGACTTCTGAGCAGGAACCATGGTCCTTGGCAGCTTTCCTGGCGTTAGTGAACTAAGGATTAATAATTCGGAACACACTAGCCCCAAACCACTGAGTCTGTCAAAGCATTTATTGCCTGGGAGCATAGCTGAAGCCTTAGTACATGACTTTATCCCAAGTAATGTGCAGAGGCTCCTCCTATGAGAGTCCTTGTATCACCGTTTCTAGAACCTCAGTAGAAGTAGCTTTGCACATGCAACTGCCTTGAAATCCCTTTTCCATCAGAAACCTCCTGTTTGTGCATCAGGATTCCTTCCATATCCAGCAGTGTGCAACAGGAATGGCAGAATTCTCAGTAACAAGAAGTAAAGCAGACCAGCAGTTACAAGGCTGGCACTGTTATGACAGTTCAATTAGCCAACAAACACTGCCTGAGCGCCCACGTGTACAAGGAACAGAGCAAGTGAAGGGACTCAGTATTATCTAACTCTTAAATGACAAAGCTTACAATAAAGCAGGCCATCTATACCCACAGTGGGCAGTGTGCAAACCCAGACTTGGGTCGCTCCTGCACTTCCACCATCAATTGCACCTTGCTGTTATTCCAGAGCTGAGTCTTGTCTGTGGCAGCCTGGTATTATAAAGTCACTACCAAAATATGTCTTTTCCCACATTTCCAGTAGAACTGACTTAATGCTCTGTTGAATGCTGTAAGACAAGGTTTTTAATTCTTTTTATGATCCTGTTTTTACAGTCCATGGTTATCTTAAAAGAAAGTCTTTTTATACACATGCTGAGTCATGAGAATATAATCCTTCTGACCAAAAAGATTTACAGTATTCATCATTCACACTTTTTATTTACAGTAAAATTTAACAGTCTTTATGGGCTTAAATGTAGCAGACATCACCTGTGCATTAACTATTATACTTCATTCCTTTAAGATGCATTTCTTCCTTACTCCAGCTGCTTGCTGCCTTCCGATTTCTGGTCCAGTCTACTCTTGTTACTTTTTACCATGTAGATGAAGTAGGCAAGGGTCTCTTTTTCATTCACAGGTATGTTCCTGAAGTGTCGGCTGACAGTCTACGTGGGGAGAAAGAAACCAAAGTCCTTTAAGCCTTGCATTATTCAGGGCCACACATTCTAAACTGTGCAAAAGAGGGAGCATGGGTGCAGCTGTGGCAGAGCCTCCTGCAGTACTGCAGAACTCAGGGTGCCCTCTTCCCCAGGGCTTCAGGTGGTTTGATTTCCAGGCTTCCAAAAATAGCATTTTAGTATACAACACTAACAAGGTGAAGTTTTATCTCAGTGACAGCCAGCCTTCCCTTACATAATTTCAGTCATCCCATGGAAGAAGATTCTCGGATTGCTCCGGCCAGTTGCTACCAACCCTCTGAAGCCCTGGAAATGGGCAGAAATGTGACTTTCAAAACTGCCGCAAACAGTCAATTGGTAAGTGTCTGAATCCAAGAATTCCTCTAAATAGAGGACAAATGCTTCTTGAAAGAGCTAGTGGAGTTGAAGGAAAGCTCATCATTTGCTACATCTTCCTTCCTTCTTTCCTTCTTTCCTTCCTTCCTTCCTTTCTTCCTCCCTCCCTCCCTCCCTTCCTCCTCCTTCCCTTCCTTTCTATCTATCAAGTGGTACTCGGGTTTGAACTCTGGGCTTGGGCTTGCTAAGCAGGCACTCTACTGCTTGAGCCATGCCTCCAGTCCTTTTATTTTGGAGACAGAACAGCCTGGACCATGTTCCTACTTTATGCTTCCTGCCATAGCTGGATGACAGGCACATAATATCATGTCTAGCTTTTTTCTGTTGAGATGGGGTCTCATGAACTTTTAGCTAGGATTACAGGCATAAGCCACCAGTACCCAGCTGTACCTGGTATTTTTTTTTTTTTTTTAACGAGAGAGAGAAAGAGAGAGAGAGAGAGAGAGAGAGAGAGAGAGAGAGAGAGAGAGAGAGAGAGAGAGAAAAGGCAGATATCAGGGAATTATGTCCCTTTCTCCCCCCACCCCCAAACTGTGTTAAGAACTCAGGGTAGGAAGAAACTTTCTTGGGCACCATTCATTATAATACATACTTTCATTATCAACATCAGAGAAGAAGAAACCAAGAAAGAAAAATAGCTGTTACAGAGCATTAGCAAAGGTTTTGGAGGACTGAGGATATAGTTCAGTGGTAGGATGCTTACCTAGCATGCACGAGGCCCTGGGTTTGATCCTCAAAAACAAAAAAAAACAAAAGCTTAGGGGATGGTTGAACTGACATACCTGATACACAGAAAGGACTGTATCTGAAATCATCATTTTGCTTTTTTAGCAGTACTGGGGTTTGAACTCAGGGCCTCATACTTGCTAGGCAGGTACTCTACCTCTTAAGCTACTCCAACCAGCAGGACTGTACCTATAAAGAATTTTGAAAAAAGATTTAAACAAGAGAATAGTCAGGACTTAGAAAGAATTAGCAGTCCTGAGAGTCCAGACTCAATTCTGCTGTTAGATTTTAAGGAAGTCATTTTTCCTCTCTGTGCCATGGTTTCTTTTCTGGAAACAGGGTCTTTCTAGTCTAAAGCTGTGATATTCTAAATTATGCAAAAGGGGAATACAGACTTGCTTCCAGAGTTACGAAGCAAGACATACACCACAGTAGGGAGAATCAGGATCATATCAGAAGAACAATGCTTGTTCTCTCTAGTCTACCTACTTCTGCTAACTGGGCCTTATTGAAGCCTGGTCTGGTCTGCAACTTGTAGTGTCGTTTATAACGTCGGAGAGTATTCACCTGCAGCTGGAATAGATCGACCTAGAGAGAAGAGGAGAAACACATTATCCATCACCTGACAAGCTAGGATTCACGACAGCCCACTATGTGCCCAGTATACCCTAGGTAAGGGTGAGAATGGGGAGGGCTACAAAAGAAGTCTGAGAAATTATTTGTTGAGGACTAGTGACTGGCAAAGAGGACAAAAACAGTGGAAAAGAATTTTGGCTGGAGTGGGCTAATTCCAGGAGTCTGGTGGAGGAGGTGAGGCTGAAGCTAAGAAGGGGCAGTAAAGAAGAGAGTAAGGAATGAGGGGGGAAGATCAGGTGTACAGAAAGCCAAAAGATGAAGAGCTGGGCTCAGGGTCACAGGCAATGGCAGGGGGTTCAAAGGGGAGACTGGGTGGTAGTATTTCTTGAGAGGAAGGAGCTATGATGGGGGGTGGAGGGGAAAATGGAGCTTCAGGAAGATGGAGCTGGCAGGGGTTTGCAAGGAGGAGTGACTGGAGGCGAGAGAGACAGAGGAAAACGCTGCAGTAATGATTCACTGGTGAGATGATGAAGTTGAATTTGGAGGAGCAGTGAAGCTAGGGGATACCAAGGATGGGCAAAGGCAAAAACTAGAGACACCTACAGAAAGACATGCTAGGACTAGGCAACAACTGGAGAGAGGGGCATGAAGGACAGTGGGAAGAATAGGGACTTTCAAATAGTTATTTTGTAGGCTCAGCTTTCAGGACTTAGAATTCTTAACAATGCTCTAAGAAAAGCTTGAAAGCTACTGTGGTGAACGTGCACCAGCAGGCTAGGGTCAGGGGTTCTGCAGATGACTGGATGACAGAGGGGAAGGGACCCCCATCTCTTTTTTCTAACACAGGAAGAGAGGAAAGCTGCATAGTCATGAAATATTGAAGGCCCAGAAAGTTGGGCTGCCTTTACCTGCCTCTAAAAGAGATGTTCTTGCTTCAGGCAGGTGGAGAGCACTTAAAAACAAAATGAATGATCAATATGAGGGACCAGAGTCCTTCATTTGTTTCAAAACATTCCTTAAAACCTTTTCTTTCTTTCTTTTTTTTTCCTGGTGAAAGGCATTTAGAAACCAAATGCATCTTTGCAAAATAATAATAATACGAAAGGCAACAGAAAGATACTGTAAATTAATGCTGGAAAAGGGGACATGGGGGAGGGGCAGAAGGCAAAGGCTTGATTTTCAAAGCTTTCCTCCACATCTGCAGACAAAGGCCCGCCTACTCTTTCTATTCCTACACAGTCATTTTCACTCAGAGTGCTAACAGGCAGTTGCCTTATGAAATATTCATGCGTCAAGTATTCAATGTACACTATAAATGGTTCTTCTTTTGCTGAATCTTAAGTGAAAACAATTTAGATAAAAAGAAAACCCAATATTCCTTCTGGAGCTTCACTTAATATACATGGGCACCCTAAGGACAGGTAGCTCTGGTTGAGAAGCCTAGGTCTCACACAGGAGTCCTTAACTTGGAATGAGTTTACCTCCCAGAAGGCATGTGGCAATGTCTGGAGACATTTTTTTGATTGCCATGACTCAAGTGGCAGCTAGAAGATAAAGGCCAGGGATTCTGTTAATTATCCCACACCACCAAAGATTCACCAAACAACAAAGAACCATCTGGCCCTAAATATTCATAGTGGTCAGGGCCGAGAAACTCTGGTTTAGTATAACTGGTTTTGGAATAGATCCTTGAGAACAGGTCTTGGTCAGCAGTCATGGAACCAGAGTGTGACAGAAAACCAGAGCGGGCTTTTTATATATAAAAAAAAAATATATACATATATATATATTTTATAATTTTATATACCAGAAAACTGAGGGGAAAAGACTATCATAGATCATAAATACTCTGGGTAACTTGAAGGATAAAACAAGATTTAAAAATTGTTTTGAGGGCTGGTGGAGTGGCTCAAGCAGTAAGTAGCAAGTATGAGGTCCCGAGTTCAAATCCTAGTGTGCCAAAACAAAAAACCAAAAAATGAACAAAAAATTTGACTTCATGATTATACTTTTTTTTTTTTTTTTTGTGGTACTGGGGTTTGAACCCAGGACCTACACCTTGAGCCATTCCACTAGCCCCTTTTTTGTGAAGGGGTTTTTCTTTGAGATAGGGTCTCGCAAACTATTTGCTCTGGCTGGCTTTGATCTTCCTGATCTGTGCCTTCTGAGTATCTATGATTACAGGTGTGAGCCACTGGCTATCCACTTGTCAGGGATTTCTTAAAGAAAGCAATGCCATCTATTGGAAAGAGCACTAGACTAGGGCATTAGAGCCTTCAAACTATACCTCAGGTCTCTGTCTGGAAGATGATGGGTCACCCAGACCAGATGACTTCCAAGCTTTCAGATTCAATACTGCTATAATTTTACAATTTGCTTTTCAAATAAATCACAGCAAAACACAGGGGACTAAAGTTACTTCTTAGCACAAAAAGTGGAGCAGGCCAGAGGAAAGAGACTCCATTCTTCCAGCTTTCTCTGGCTGACTTTTTTGGCCTTTACCTCAGGAATATCAGTGTCATGCTCAGGAGAATCTCCACCATCATCACTTGTCTTCCTCTTTCTTTTATTTCGGACACTCTGAATGAAATTTTTGTGGAAATCGCAGATATACAGGTGCCTTACCTGATGGAAAGGAAATTAAAGTCAGAGTTGCAATTCCTTGGAAATAGCAAAAGGTATCTGTCCAATTATGGGGCTTTTCTGCAAGGCACTGGAGAGACAGAAGGAAGAGCAGGATGGAGGCCATAGTTTCCAGATGCTAACTACTGAGTTGCAGAACAAGAAACACACAGAGTACTAGGAAGGTAGCTCAGTAGTACAGCACTTGCCTACTGTGCATGAGGCCTGGGGTTTGACCATCATCACTACAAACACACATACACATACAAAGAGAACACTAACACCACACAGTACACTACAGACCAGGTCTCCACTGAACAGTGAAGAAAATAAATTCCTGAACATGGGAGTAGAAGGGAGGCTTTGCAAGACAACCAGGAAGCATTCCATATGGGAAAAAAGAACTAAGACTGAGAGTGCCCAGTAAGGGTAACAGAAGGGCTCCCAGGGTGGAGGTCAGGGTATGCAGTATCAGATAGGTGGTGTGACTGCCCACTCAGGAGCAGAAGGACAAATACGGGGGTCAGGCTATGAAGACAGTGTAGACTTTACTTCAGACAAGAGAGAGTCCTTTGAAGTTTTTGAAGCAAGTAGGGATGTGGCATCTTCAGAAGATCTGTAGGAGTTATTAACTTACAGACACACTTTTCTGAGTAGGAGGGAAGCAGGAACTCTGGTAATGGTATATGGCACATCTTATTTTACCCCGACAATAGCTACTATTGTAACTCTCTGAAAAACTTTATTTCCATGTTTCAGTGTATAATTCTTGCATTACCTCACATCTGATCTACAAAGACGTGGAAAGGCAGGAATTCTCACAAGGCAGAACCACATAAAAGAATGTGACTATTACCACTGATTTTCTAATATAGGTTGGAGGCATATTAGTAAGTAAGTAAAGATGCCAACAGCAGCTAAGATGTGAAGAATATGCTTTTATTTAAGAATATAAGTACCAGAGTTGCCTGCAGGAGCCATTCAAAACCCTTAAAGAAATAGAATGCCTGTGTAAATGACTGGGGGTTGTTGATATTGAAACAGATGTGTGCAAATGTTTTGGAGAGAATGTCTGAATTTGAGTTTATTCCTTAAATCCCTAAAGATAAAAGTAAGCTGACAGGAAATCAGCATCAATTAATTCAGGGCTTTTTATGGAGAAAATAATGAAAACTGTTTATTCAGATGAATTATCACTTTCATGTGGTTGGATTAGTGAGTCATGAGTAGTTTTAAGTTTATACTGTGATGGTGTCTGGGAGAGCAGGCACTCAATAAATGCTGCTGCATTAATATAGGCAGTCTCTTACATCTAAAAGCAGCTTAGGTCAGCAAAAGCCACCACTTACATAGTTCCAAATTGGGATACCTTTGCCAGATTCCACTGTTAAAGGGCTTTCTGACACAGTATGTGCCACTGTCCCAAAGAGGACCACCCAGGTGATGTATGGACCACAGGAGGTGCTTTCTCCAGGAAGGACACCAAAGTATGCTGTATATCCCTGAGAGGCAGCTGGCACTCCATGTTACTTAGGCCAGCATGTATGCTGTTGAGAGAGCTAGCTGTTGCATGGTGACTTGGCAGGAGAATAGGCAGAAGAGGATATTCCCTAAAGTTTTGGCTGAATGATTTCAGGTCCTGACACTAGAATAATGAATGGAATCCTAGCTGAAAGAGAACTTACCAAACTTTAGTGCAACCTCATTCGCCTCAATCTCATTTTCTAGAGGAGTAAAGTGAAACCACCCAGTGTGGGAAAATGGCCTGGCCAAGGTCACCCAGGTCTTCTGACCCCTGGTATGTGTCCTTTTCTACACAACATTTTCTCCTTGATACTATTCTCAATTTCTACTTTTCTACAGAAGAAAAGCAGAAATATGTCAATTAGAGAAATGTTTGCAAGTATGTTATATCTTAATAAGTCACAGAACACAATCAATGTCTACATAAAATGAGTTAAACTGCCTGAGTTGGGTTTTTGGTGCTTCTATTTTTAAATAGATAGCACTGCTTTCTTTAAGAAATCCCTGACAAGCGGGGAGCCCCTGGCTCACGCTTGTAATCCTAGCTACTCAGAAGGTAGAGATCAGGTTTTCTGCTAGATCCCTTTGCAAGACAGTCATTGTTTCTCCTTAACCATTGTCAAGTACATGCAGGTTTTCATTTCAGAGCCCAGTGACCTTTGGGGTTGGGGTGGGGGCAGGGGGGTGGCAGCAAAGGCTTAGTGTTATTGCTTTTTCCTGTTTCACTTTCTACAACAGCTAAAAATTCTTGTAACACAGCAAGTTACTTGGCATTGAATTCCTGCCCAAGCCTGTGAAAATGAAATAGAACCCCTTTCAGAAATAATGACTCCACACCACCACCTTGAAACAAATTGTGAGTGATTCCACAAACTATTCTTTCAGAAGCACTACCTTTTGGGATGCTCTTGCTAGACTTAGGCTGCTTCTCTTCTAGACAGTGCATGTGAAATGACCAATACAGGATTTCCAGTAGGCTCAGTGGGTAAAAAGAGGCTCAGATGCAGCAGCAAAATTATTCAGATATGAAAGCATCCAAGGGTTTCAAATATTATAAGCTGCTCAAGTGAAACTGCTAATAACCTACAGAGAAGGTAGGTCCTGTTTCCAAGTAGATATGTTTATTTTTGTCCTAGAATTAAACATTTCACTTCAACATGTGACCATCAGGGACCACCTTGGTATTTAGCCAGTTGTTTGCTCCAGATGAATTCCATGCATTCTTTCAGATAGAGACTTACAATAAGAAAGCCATTAACTCACCCCCCAATTACTTAAAAACAGCACCTTTCCAAGCAAGAGCTACAAATGTGTAATAATGGTTAATTAAATAAAATTGAGGGTGGGAAGGAACAAGAAAGATTTATTTATTAAAGACATAATGAAGGCTTATGCATGGGGCTTGGAAGGAAATCAGATAATGGGTTTAGGAAATGAACCAGCCTATTAAGTGCTGTATGCATATGGCACCATCACTTCCTGTATCTCTGGGCTTCAGTTTCAACCATAAAATCAAAAGTGTGAAAGTGGGCTTCCCTTTTAGTTTAATCTCAGATTTCTCTCAACTGCAGAGAAATGTTGTTCCTAAAAAATAATGGATGTTAACCACCTAAGCTCTTAGCGTACCTGAATATTGAAATATCCCTAAGCTTTCGTTTCCGATTCCTAATCATGAAGCAGCCACATATAAGGCTTGCAGCAACAGATGTCAAACTAAAAAGCTCTTAATTGGTTGACAATAGGCACATCTTTAGAGTTGTCAACTAGAAGTGGTGAAGTCACACAGGAAGTTTCCTATAATTAGGCACAAAGCACAGGACAATACTATTCAAATTTAAATCTCCACCTCCGAATTTCCAAAGATGCTATCCCCTGAGAAAATTGATCCGCCCCCCTCCCCAATCACATCGACTGCAAGAGCCATCTCCCAAGAACTGGCCTTAGCCTTATTTCTGACACATCCTGAAAAAACTCATTCCCACAAATGCGTGAGACGTAAGCTAGGGCCCGCAGCAGTAGAGGCTGCGGGAGACTGGGAAGTAACTACCGCCTTTCCCTGTCTGAAGGAGTAACAGCGTTCCTAGAAGGAGGAAGAAGTTGGAGAAGAGCCGGGTCCCTTCATCGCCCCCTCCTCGCCATTCTTGCTCCTTTGCGGACCAACAAAATCAACCACGTCTTGCTGCTCTAATACCCAAAGAAACCGCTGTCAAATCTGCCCAAGAAGAGGAGACCACGACGTCCCCTGCACCACCCCGAAACTCCCGGATCTGGGCAGACTCCCAGAGCACATCCGCGCAGAAGCGGCCTTTAAGATTCCGAGCCCAACTCTTCCATTCTGCAGATAAGGGGCGGCGAGGCCCACCGCGGAGATGCTCCGGGGTACTCCCGACCCCAGCCCAGGGCAGCGGCCCGGCGCGGGGACCCGGCGGGGCGACTCACGCTCTTGTCGATGTCCAGCTTGAGTTTCTTCTGCGAGATGCTCTTCTGGACCCTCTTGCTGAAGGAGGCGTTGCCCGCGGGCCGGACGCAGCGCTCGCCGTCCTCGATGAGGCAGCAGCTCTGGCCGTAGCCTGGGGCGGCGGCTGGGGCGGCGGGGGGCCCTTCGCGGCTGTCCTCCTCCGTGCTGAAGCCGTTCATCTCCCCGCGCCGGGCCGGCCCCTCTGGGGGAGGGCCCCTCTAGGCCACTCCGCGGCCGCGCTCCCCGCGGGGCAGGTCGCCGAGACCCCCACGCCCAAGAGTCCCAGAGTCCGTCCCCAGCTAGGCACTGCGCTGCCCGGCGTGCTAGAGGCCTGGACCCTTCGGCCCCGGGCCCTGCGTCTTTGGAGAGCCCCTGCCGCTCCGCGCCAGGCCCCGGGGTCAGCTCCGCGGCTCGCAGGGCCCCGCCGGGGGTCACTCGGAGGCGCCTTCGGCCGGGGGCCGAGAATCGTCCCCTACGGCTGGGCGCCCGGGGACGCGTCCCAGGACGCGGCTGCCTCCCGGGGACTCCGGGTCCTGCTGCCAGGGGGTTTCGAAGGCCCCCGCCGGCTCCCGCCTTCTTTCGGTTGTGGGGCAAACTCGCTGCCCAGCAGCTCCCCTGGGGTGGCGCGGCCTCCCCGCGCGGGGCCCGGCCTCGAACCCGCGGCGCCCGGGCCCCGCGGCGCGTCCGGCCCACCCCACCCCTGCAGCAAGTCGGCTGCGTCTGGAGACCCGCGGCAGCCACTGGCCCGCCCGGCCGCCGCTCGCTCAAGGCACCTCACCACAACAGTTCGCTTCCCCCCCCACCCCGCCCGCCTCGGGACAGCGGAAGTTCCGCCTCCGTTTATTCATTGGCTGCGTTTGCTCTATGGGCGGGGCCGCCGCCGCCGCTGGCGCAGTCCATTGGACGCCACCACTGCCAGTCTCTGGTGCCAGGCTACTTCCTGGACTCTGCTGGGATGGGTTCAAAGTAGAGAAAGTGGAACAGGGAAGAGTTCTTCTGGTAAGGGAGGGGAACCGGGCTGCAAACTACCCGGTCCCTGGATGGGATGGTGAACTAGTGCCTGGCTAGACAGAAGGGCGGACTCTGGGAGCAGGTCATGTTCGCGGGCAGACGGAACCACAGACGTGGGCGGGGGCGCCGAGAGACTGACTTAGGGGAGGGGTATCTTAAGGGGACCTTAAGAGAGGAGGCGCTGTCTTGAGAGGGACAGACTGGATAAAACTAAAGGGCCAGGGCCAGGGAACTCGCAAACCGATGGAAAGTAGAGTAGGCGAAACAGGACAGAAAAGCCATCATGGCGGGAAAGACAGAGGGACAATCCCGTACAGATGCGTGTAAGAGGGGAGGTGACTGGAGTCTTGTGAGGTAGTCGGAATCTTCACAGTGGTGAAGACCCCAGACTGGCCTGGGGCTGCCTTGGACGGCGCGGACAGGAAAGGGAAGGGAGGGAGCTTTCCGGGGCATGGGTGCCCACCCCCCCGGGTGCCCACCCCCCCCCCCGGGGAGTGAGCATCGGAAGTCCAGATAAGGTTTGGAGAATGGACTGGGTGAAGCGCGGGAAGAAGAGGGGTGCAAGGGAGATGGACAAAAGATTGAGAGAACAAACGCCAATCTGCCGGGGTGGGGAAAGGTGTCTTGGGCCATCCCTGGAGCTCTAAACTGTCGTTTTATTGCTTTAAGCCTATACGTCTTTCCGCGAGGCCACAGTGCCCTTGCTAAATCCCTGGGTATGGAGTTCCAAGCCCAAGGTGCCACCCCTCCCTCCGGGAAGGGTCGTAGGGAATTCTCTAGTATAGCGCCTCTAGTGTAGTCAGGCCACCCCCTAACTGGGAAGCTTTGGGACCAAAGGGCAGATGGGACCGGCTCAGGGTAGTGCATTTAGGGCTGAGCAGCGTTTTGTAGGGAGGGTGTGTTAGGAAACAGGTAAGCACTTGTTCCTAATTAATTGGTAGGACTAGAGGGCATAGAAGGAGCTTGGGGTTGTGTCCTGATGAAAAAGGGAAAGCTACAAGTTTTTGAACCAGAGTCTGTGTTCAGAAGCAGTTGCCTTGTGATCTTAAATTCTCCCCGGTGCCTTAAATGCATACTGTAACTTAACTAATTTCATACATGAGACAGCCATCTTAGGAACTGGCCTACAAGAGAAAAATTTCAGCCTAACATGTTGGGGGCTGGGGCTGTAGCTCAGTGATAGAGTGCTTGCCTAGAGCTGGTGAGGCCCTGGGTTCAATCTATAGCAAACAACACACACACATACAACATGTTCATTATGGGATTATTTATAATAAAAAATTTTAAAAAGCAGTCTAAAAATCCCAAAAGGGAAGTGGTTAAGTAAACAGCTAACATCTTCAGAATGAGATATGCAGCCAGCATTTAAGGTAGTTTCAACATCATGTGTGTGTATATAAAATTCACCATTAATTCTTCAACAAAGAGTTGAGGAGGCCAGGCTCCACGTCTGTAACCCTAGCTACTCGGCAGGCAGAGATCAGGAGGATCACAGTTTAAAGCCACCTGGGGCAAAAAATTAGAGAGACTCTATATTGAAAAAACCCATCACAAAAAACAGCTGGTGGAGTGGGTTAAAGTGTAGGCCCTGAGTTCAAACCCCTGAACCTCAAAAAAAAAGTTGAAAAATGTTATGTTAAGTAAAAAAACGTAGAATATAAAATAGTACATGGGATATGATATGTCTACATTATTTTTTTTTTAAACTTCGTAAGAAATACACCACAGCACTAATAGTGATTATTTCTGGTAGCAGAAATATGGTTGATATTTTTCTCCTTGTGTTCTACCTTTGAATTTTCCCTAATAAGCATTTTTGTTTTTTTGCTTTTACAGTAGAAAAAAATAGAATAAAAAGTAATGGAAAAAAGATACAATTTAATAGCAGTCCTCCAGAGTTCATGTAGTCAAAAGTAAATTATTAAGAGCATTGTGTATACCCATTGTGGGGTTGGTTACAGGAAGAGAAAACAATCCTGGCCCTAAAAGAATACTTTCTGGCTGGGGAGTTCAGATACATACACAGAAAATAGTTGGGTATCTCTACAGGGCACTGTGTGATGTTGGTTCCAATGTAGACTGGTATGGCTGAGGGCTCTGTTTTTCCCAACACAGACCTTGTACTTAGATAATTTTCAAAAAGAGCATTGCATTTAGCATGAGGCTATTTCTGTACCTAGCTTCTTTAGTAACAGTTCCTCTGGCCGAGGGGAGACAGAACCTTTCCCTTAGGTGCTCTAGTTCAGCCCTCAGGGTAGTGACTACTCTTGATTATCTGCTGTTCCTGTGTTGTTTAGAGTTCTCTTTCCTTTTTACTAGACAAGCCCTTATCACTATAGTCCCTGTTATAATTAACACAACTTTTATTAGTATTTCAAATTACTGTGTGATTTCTTTTTTTCTGATTAGATCCGTACTGAAACCCCCAGCCTCTATGTATTTACAAGTGTATGTGTGTGTTTCATGCTTGTAATCATCTTTTGGTACATTTTTTAGTCCTTCTTCAATGAATGAGTCATCACAACCTTTGTCTATGTTGTGTAGCTCTCACAGTTGCTGTTTTGAATGAATTCACAATATTCTAAGTGCTGTAGCGTGTACACTGTGGTGCTTTGTTGTCAAAACCGGTTTCAGATCTGAGCTCTACCTCTTGTTGTATTAGCAAATCATTTCACTTCTTTTTTTTTTTTTTTTCAGTACTGGGGTTTGAACTCAGGGCCTACAACTTGAGCCATTTTTTGTGATGGGTTTTTTTGAGATAGGGTCTGGCGAACTATTTTGTCCTGGCTGGCTTTGAATTGCGATCCTCCTTAATCTCTGCCTCCTGAGTAGCTAGGATTACAAGTGTGAGCCACTGGTGCCCAGCCATTCCACTTCCTAAGACTGATGAAATGGGTGGTGACAAATCATTGCTTAATATAATGCCTGGAACATCATCAATGGGTAATAAATGTTAGCTGGTATTAGTTAGTTAGTTAGTTTACTTGTTTTTGCCCCCAGTAGTTGGGTATCTTTTTTTTTTTTTCCTGGTGTTCTGTATAAATGTTTTTGAACACAAAAAATTTCCCATTATTTAAGGTTATTACGTTAGCAGGAAGTTAGAAGTGGAATTATGGTAAAAGGTTTTCCATGGTCTCTTGCCCAGGCTCACTGACCCTCTCTTTCCTGGCTATCCTGCTCCACTCATCACTCTTTCCATCTAATTAGGCTTAAAGAATGAGGGTTGGACCACTCTGCAAAGTGGTCACAGTCCTCCAGTGCTTTCCCCTCCCTCTGTTCTCTTCTTTTCCCTTTTTTGGGGAATGTGGCAGGTGGCTCTGGGAGTGATTTGAAATGATTGCCCTTCTTTGGGGATAGGTGTCCTGGAATTGTAATGGACAGGTGCTGATTATAGTCTCTGACTGGCTGCATTGGTCAGTTTCTCCAACAATTGTGTCCAGTGGAACTGAGAGGGAATGCTGACAGTGATTGAAGCAGAATGATGGATCTGGCTCCTGCACTCCCCAGGGTCTGCTAGTTGAGCTTGACCTTGAATTCTGCAAGATACTCAGAGATAGATTGCTTTTTCTGAGACTGGAAGCTCTGTAAGTAGCGGGAACTGTCTGTATGGTTCATCGTAAAGCCTCTCGTGCCCAAGTACTTGGTTAATATTTGTTGAATAAGTGAGTAGATGGATGAGAGATGAAGAGACAGTGGAGCACAGTGGTTGGGAGCACTGACTCTAGATCTAATGAGCCTGTGCTGAGATTCTGGATCTGCCACTGGTTAACCTGGGAACCTTGGGAAAATTATACAGCCTAACGATGTCTCAATTTTCTCATCTGTAAAATTTAAGATTGTTGTGAATATTATCTGAGTTAGCAGATGTAAGCCACTTATAAAAGTGTCTGGCACATATTAGATGCCCAGTAAACATTAGTTATTATTATTATTGTCTAAATTAGTTATCAGGTTTAGCAAATAACAGAAAACCCAAAAATAGATTTTCTCCTGCCTTCAAGAATTTTAGAGGTGATCAGATAGCTTTTCTCATCAGACAGAGACCAAGACTTCTCTTTGTTGCTCTGCCGTGTGGGGCTTCCATCCCCAAGGATCCCTCATTGACCAAGAAATGGATTTCCATTTCTTTGGGGAATTTAGTCAAAAGGAAGGAGGAAGAGGAGAAGGAAACCTCATCCTTGTTCTTTAAGAACACTTCTCACAGCCATGGGTGGACCTTCCACTTACATCTCTTTGGCCAGCATTTGGCCATACCTAACAGCAAGAGGGGCTGGAAATGTTGTCTTCCTGGTGCCTGTGTGCTTAGGTAAAAATGGATTGTGAGTTGGGTAGAAGGGTAGAATGTGTATTTGGGATCTCTGCCACATTTCTTTTCAGAATTTTTCCAATTTCCTTAAATTCTGTGTGTTGCTAATTTGGGTTCCTTTTCTCTGGTGAATTCTCAGTAATACAGGCTGCAAAGCTCTGCAGTTTTTGATCAGCCTCAGAATTTGCCTTTTGTTAAATTCCTTCCTTCCTTCCTTCCTTCCTTCCTTCCTTCCTTCCTTCCTTCCTTCCTTCCTTCCTTCCTTCCTTCCTTCCTTCCTTCCTTCCTTCCTTCCCTCCTTCCCTCCTTCCCTCCCTCCCTCCTTCCTTCCTTCCTTCCTTCCTTTCTTTTCTCTGTCTCTCTCTTTTTTTTTGGGCAGTACTGGGTTTGAACTCAGGGCTTCCCACTTGCTAGGCAAGTGTTCTACCACTTGAGGTATACTTCGGTCCTTTTTTCTCTGGTTATTTTGCAGATAGGGTCTCATTTTTTGCCCAGGCTGGCCTGGACCACAATGCTATTTTATACTGTCCTAGTAGCTGAGATGACAAGCGTGTGCCACCATGCTCAGGTTTTTCTGTTGAGATGTGTGTCTCACAAACTTTTTTGCCCAAGTTGGCCTGGAACTGTGAT